GCAGTAGAAATGCGATCGGACGATGATAATGCCTGGTGGCAGTGTGATGCAGTCAACAAATCTTGGTAAAAGTATGCGAATGTAGAGGCCCAGGAAGCTTTAACGAATTCGACATAAAATTAAGGGGTGCGGGCACACATCTCCGCTTTTTCTAAAGCTATAATAGCGTAATATTTTGCGGCAAACAAACTAAACGCAACAGAGGGTCCTGCTATGACAAGGATGGACTTTCTGCGCAGTTATTCGCATAGTGCCCAAGGACATGGCGTTGGCAGAACGGCGACCCAATATTATCACCCGTCTCATCTCAGGGGAAGCTCTCCCGTCGCCCGAAGCCGATTGTACTATCCCTTCAAACCACTTCAGCCTTGATGAACAATGCAGTCTGCACGCTCACGCGTCCAGCAGCTGGCAAGCACGAAGGCCGATGTGTGCAGAATTCCTGTCCTCTGACGAGCGTGACCATAGCCTCCGTTAGAGGAGGCTATGGTCACGCTAATCCGGCTTGAGGCGTCCCGTCAATAGCACTCCGTTTATTGTCAACGTTTTAGGTTACAATAAGTAGCGGTCAGTACGTTCCTGAAGGTACAAAGCCGGCTATGTCGCTCGCGTCCGCGCAAGCGGTTCCTCGTCTCTGTGTTTATTACTGCGGGGGGTCATTTTCCTACTTTGCAAACGGCTGGAACGCGTACTTTGTCACGTCGACGGTCGTCTGGACACGTTCCTCTTTCGGATCCACCGAAAGATTTCAAAAAATCAGAAGCCGAACCCGATTTACAAGAGCAGAAGACCTGGCGCCCGGCTACTTCCGCAAGCGACGGAGCAAGCGAGAATCGAGATGGTCCTTTTATGACGTAGTGGCGCGTCACGGGTGGCTAGCCAATGGCGTGCCGCTGCGGCGATCGCTTCTGATTTCTTCGCTTTTTTTCGCGCTTAGGGATTATTTTGGGTCAAATGGTTGTGATATGTGGACTCAGCAGGCACAAATGCATCAGAATCCACCATTAACTCATTTTTTTCGAAAAGCTCTTCAGCTTCCCTTTAACTTGCTATTCGCCTCGAGATCGAACCGTGTCGCCACCGTGCGGCTGAAACTGGAAACGCGCGAAAGCGGGGATGCCGCCGTGCGTCGTCTGCTACGAGCGCACGCTCAGAAGCATGGATCTCGACGACGCAAGCCCGTTTACGGCTCAGCTTGACATTCCTTATTAAATGTTTTATGTTTTTGTTGCCGTTTCTTCTTACTAAAGGTTGTGTTGTATCGTTTCCCATGCGTAGAAATTCAGCAAAGTGATTATTATTAAGTCGGAAGCTTCCATAATCTTAGTGTGTTGGTTTGTATACAATCGCTAGTCCCACGTATTTTTGTTATCTCGCACAAACCGTGGCTTTCATAAAGCATTGAATGTTGAGTGGGTATGTGGTTTGATTAGAAAAATAAACCGACTGATCGCTATAATTTAAGAGACTAATCAATCAATAAATCCGTATGTTAATTTTTCGCCGGTCATATTGCGTGAAAGATGGTAAAACTACATATTTTGTACTGGTTTTACTATCTCATAAATGGCATATTGCATTCCCATTTTGAACTTCACATTGTGAGTCCCACATAAATATGAACACGGGAAGCCTTTTAAAATGAAGTATTTTTTAAGTTATTGTTTAAACAGTATAATCACCCCCGGTGAAATGACAATAAGCACGCTGAAGTAGTTTACCGTGCAAGCCTAAATGGTCAAAAATATTAAAGCAGGCATTTTTTACTCCTTGCTGACTTTCTCCAGCACAAGACTCTAATTAACCGGCTAAAATAATTGCAATTAAAGCATTACTTGAATAATCTGAAAGTTAATTGATGAACTGCCCAGTCCCGATATACGTTAGGTGAGGGCGGAGGGTGATCGGAAAGTCTTGTGAAGGTCGCTAGCCGGGCCCTTATCAGTAAAAGAATGTCACTGCAGCCGATGCTGTCTGTGTCGTGGTGCGCGTCGTTTTTTGGGGTTGCAGAGTATACTGTGTTTGAATACAAGATTATTTAGTCCGACATTTATAGTATTAGCCTCTTGACATCCGCGGCCCTCACCAAAAAAAATTGAAGCGGGTGAACCCACACTGCCGAGAAGAGCATTTAGTAACAAGAACATTGCTGCGTTGCTCGGTTACACTCGTTTATTACAGTCACGGCAGATATATAAGAACAGTTTGTTTCACTTGTTTGAGTTGTCCTGCCAACCGTGCAGTTTGCAGATTTTAACTAGAAGTGGCATACTCTCCGCATCGCAACGCAGTGGATTTGTTAAAACTCCAAAAAACTTACCCACACTATGGCACAGTAAACGGGCAGAGGAACTCAATAGCATGGTAATTTCCAATACAGCGCTAACTTATCTTCATTCTAAAGATATATATTACTGCAGAAGCTAGAAGTTAAAAAAAAGCATAGATGCTGCGATTTTACAGCCTACAGTACCAGTATTATGTTATCTGGGTTGGAATTTATTTTTTTTAATTCCCTCGTTGATGAACTTATACATCCATTTTAAAAGAAACAAATATTTAACATAAATATTCCAGTTCAGCCGGAGACAGGCATCAGTCGTGGTGATCCATGCTTTCCAACGTCTGCCTAGAGCAGACGACGCACCCACAGAAGCGATTATATAAATTTAGGTCGCACGCTGGCAACACGATTTGATCTTCACTGAAGCACCGAGCAGTACCGCATCCTTTTCCGCTAGAATTGTTTTCCCACCGATAGTATGCGGCAAAATAAACGCAAGAATCTATGCCGCCTCGCGCGCGAACGTGGAGAGCCTATGGGGCGGCCGTTCTCCTATCCCCGCTTTGATGATGATGATAGCACGACCGTAGCGCCACCTCTAGGTCGATCTCGAGGCCAATAGCCACTCTACTCGTACAAGTTTCGGGTATAGGTGTATCTGGTTGGGGGGGTTGGGTAGAGAGAAGATAGTGGGGCTTTTTGTCACGTAAGAAGGCAGCCTGCCCCGCAGGGATCAGTGCCTGATCAGCTACATCTCATTTTCAGTCTCGTTCAAACTATCTTCTCTTAAAGCACTTCTACTGAGTTCACAAGAACTCATAAGCAAGGGTGTGGCAGTTAAGGACATGGACAAGGTGTGGAGTGGACACCTCCTGCTAAGTGATGTGAACTCTAAACTGCCCAAAGTACTCGAGCGCATAAAAGAAATGGACTCTGCCCTTCAAACTGTGAAAAAAAAGGTGAACGGTAAACTTCAGTTGTTTCCAGTGTACACAGATTCAGCTTAGTCACAACCTTTTTTTTTCTTTTTGAACATGGAAGCCTGTGGGCTCTTCTAGTCAGTGTTTATGCTGCATATCTGTTAGTGGCTGTGATATTTTGAAGACTATATATTTTTCCATCTAAAATGATATAGATATAGCTTTGTATGTTAACTTGAGTGTAGGGATTACTGTATTTTATGAACAGGGATTAAGAACATTTGTATTTAATGAAAACAGGTCAGAAAGGACTGCTTTATTTTGAAACATGTTGCGGTACCTTAATTTTTTTATGGAGACACGCAATGCACAACATTTTATGGAGTATATAAGGTTGCATTGCTCTTCTAGTCGATGCTTAAAGTTGCATATGTACGAGTGACTGTGGTATTCTAAAGATATAAAATACACATTTTGTTTTGCATCTGAATTTTCGTCAAATGTCAGTAGTCTTGTATTTTGTTACTAAACTTGATATAGGGCTTTTTAAGCAGTGATTGAACATGTGTATTCTTTATTAAACAAAAACTGTAGTAAGCGAAAGTAGTTTATCTGACACCTTGTAGTGGTTTAGTTTTCTGGATACATGTTTATAATTGGTCTATTAAATAAACGGTTTTGTACTGGCGTGGCTCAAGTTAGGCTTTTATTGTCGGGGCCTCCCATATAAAGTCTGTCATGACTCTGCCTGCTGCCGGAATGGTTTTCGAAGCCTTTCCTTTGCATAAATTGCCAATATTCCATATTTCAATGCAATAGAAATAGAAAGGTTTGTATGTGTCTTGCTTGAAAATTATTCTGGGATGTGCATGCCTATATTTTTGCTACATTTTCACATTTAGAAACAACAAATCACTTTTAGACACTTGTTCGACCTCCGTGACCTGCTCCAAAACCTATTTTTACGGCTACAAAACTTACTTTTGCTGCTCCCGAGCTGCTCTAAAGCGAGCCTTTTACTGCTCCAAAACTGCTCCAAAGTGGGACTTTTGCTGCTCCCAGCCCTGCTACAAAAGGCTCTAGCCCGCTTCCACCCTTGTTACATTGGCGCGAAGACCCTGGCTGTTCCATTGGAATATTCAGGGAACTAGTGGTTGTAGTTTCACTGTTGGATTTTATTTTGTTTTTGAAACACATTATCGATGGTGGAGCTGCCTTTGAAATGTGCTTGCCTTGTTTTTCTTTTTGTTTTTTTTTAAACCCAAAATGTGTTTTAGGTCTTGGATTCCCGAGAAAAGTGTGACAGGATGTCACAGAAATCATTAAAAAATGTGTAACACATACTTCGTAGGACAATTCATACAAAAGAGTGGTAAAACTAGAAAAAATGAATGAAATGCTAAATCTGGCCCCGTGGGAATCGAACCAACGACCCCGTGACTTTGAGCTCGACATTGTACCACTGCACCAATGAATGGCTGAACTTAGAGCTAGCTGGCTTTGTCTCTACCACAGTGGTCTCTACTAACTTTTAGGCATTTGCAGTCCGCATTCGACGTTTCCATTGAATCTTTTTGATATAAAGAAACAAAATGTAAAACGTCCCCATCATTAGGTGCAAAAGGAACAAGGGTTGGGAATAAAAAAAGAACCTACAACAAACTTTAAGAAAAAATGCAATGTATATTTCAAATCCTGCGAAGTATGAAACGGAGACATATTCTGTGAATACCAACTTCTGTAAAATCAAAATAAATTAAGCTTTTTCTTTTTTTTTTGCTTTTCACCTTGTTTAGCGGTCATCCGCTAAACTTCTCCTGGTGCAAGACTTCCTGATCCCATGCCTGGAGGACGAACGCTACGGGCGGGACCTGGTGTGGATGAAGCGCCAGAAGGGCATCTTTTGCATCAACTGGATGCACCAGGGCAGCAGGGCTTGGTCCAAGGACCAAGGAGCAGTCTTCAAGGTGCGCCACTGGAACAAACGGCGTCTCGCGTAGGCTCCCTGGTATCTCCTTGCGTTCCTGAGCTTAGCGCACCATAGCATCTGAATAAATAGCCCACTGGACCCCTTGGTGGTCGTCGCCATTCGCATGTACGGTGGTAGTCGCACATTTGAATGTGCCCGCCTAAATGCAAAACCGTGCGCACCGCGTGGGAAGTGTTTCGATTTGTTACGTTTTTACAAACTATGGACGTTACATTCACATTGGGTTTCGTTTTGCTGGAACTATTCATAGTCTTTACAATTAGACGCTCCATGCACGTGGTACGTGCAAGGGGATCGCCGCACATGTCAGCTGTTCTGGCACCAGTGGCAATCGGGGGAGTGCCGGCTCTTCCGCTTCAGACTTTTAACACTTCTCTGAATTGTATTTAGAGGGTAAGAGCTTATCATGCGACAGAGAAGCTCTGTAAAGTACCTCCGGTTTGGAATCTAAAACCCTCGATATGTCGCGGAAGCAGATGCACCAAAATGGATCCGAGTGGAAGAAAGGCGACAATGATTTGCCAGCTTGCAAGCACTCTGTGTGCTCCTGCTATGTAGTTTTAAAAAAAAAAGAACCTTTGCATTGACCTTTTTTTCATACCATTCCTATTAAGGGGGCACTAGGGTCTTGAAACAATTTTTTTTATTTCTGGTCAGAATGCCACCAAATTTTGCATGCTAGTGTGTTTTCCTATACAGACTCCAAATATGCACTCAGATTAGAGCTACTGTTTATAGAAAAAAAGTTTTACTGGATAATATGAAACTTATTATGCAATATCTTACGCAACTTTAATCAACTTTCTCAACTCATTCTGCTACTTTAATGACATGAAGTGATAGCCAAAGAGCTGCTGAAGCGGATGACATTCTCAGTTTTTTTCTAAAATGACATTATCTTATTGAGATATGTCAACAAAATGTTACAAAATTTTTAACCGAAATAATGTAATCTAATTAGCCAATTATAATTTATGCCTGAGGCTTATCATAAAAAGAAGAATGTCAGCCTGCAGCTAAGCCACATGCGAATAAGAGGGTATAAAAGTTTTGATGATCGGACAAGAAGAACTTGGCAAAAAGTTGTGGAAGCCTTCGGAAGGTTGTAAAAAAAAAAACGAAGCTGAGAAAATCGCGTTTGAAGTTTGACAGTTGATGATATAAACACTATCACTAATACTGCAACAGTATTTCCCTCACATGTGCATCTGTTCTTTCTGCTTTCATATCTGTAAGTCATTTTTAGGTATATCTTTTGAAAGTTAAGATATTGCAAGTTACGCAAGACGACTCTCCAGATTCCATAATCCACTAATTTTTTTAATTTTCTTTTCTTGATAGAGCATTTGAATATTGAAATAAGAGCCTGTAGCAATAGTATGAAAGTAACCTTGATAAGCTTGGAGACAACGGGAGGTGACGTGCGCTCAGTGAGGATATAATTCCATAAACAAAAATGATTGGCCCTAAGAAGAGCCGTTTTTTGCTCAACGCCGCGTGTTGTCTAGGTTCAAAGCTGTCCCGGGCTGTAGTCGTCGGACTTCTCCAACCTGTGCCGTTTGGAGAGCTTCTTCCTTGTGGCTTGGCTGTCCGAGAACACCTTGTTTGACTTCAGGAGCCGTTGCCGGTCTTTCTCCACGCTTCGTCGAGTGAGGCAGTTGCCACAAGCGTAGCCCAGCCCAGAAGCTACACTCTCGTTGGTCTTTCTCCTGCCTTGGTTGAAGACTGCTATAGCTTCGGCAACAGCTCTGGTCACGCTGAGCAGTGATGCGTGGCTGTTCTTGGACGTCTGCGCCCAGATGACAGAGTGTAGACACTCACTCGCATTCTGAGTTTTCCCGTCGGAACACCGTTCCAGCAAGTTTTCGTCACTTAGCCGAGCAAACACTGGTTCTAGTGCTGCTCGAACTGCATCAGGCAGCGGAGCTTTGTGTGCTGGTGGCACTTCATTGTTTGCTTGGGCACGATTGTACTTGCACCAGGAAGTTGCTCCACTGGGGCAGAGGCTGTGGTCAGGGGCACCATCCGTCGAGCACATGTGCCGGAGGGTCGCTTGCACAGCCTTCTTCATCTCAGGCACATCGTGGCTGTGGCTTCGGAGGGCATACCCATAGTATTCTGTTATCTTCTTGATTTTGTCTTGGGTGAGCTTGCCTCTTCCACCAAGTGCCTCACCCTGTGCTTTTCTCTTTTCAACCACGTTGCGCAGAGCAGCACCCATTCGTTTGTGGACGTGGTTGAGGCAGTCCTTCTTTTCTATGGGCACAAAACCATACACCTTCTCTTCAGTGAGTGCATGAAAGGTGTGGCTGTCTCCATCGGAGAGCACGGTCGTGTAGCGCAGCCCATGTCTTGAAAGCGAGCGCCTGAACATCACAAGTGCTGCCTCTACCTCCATGCGTCCGGCACTGCAGTCAACGTTCTTTCGGCACTCGTGCTCTGCAAGCCACTCGGCGTAGCCCTCCTCAGAAGCCTTGGGTCCGATGGAACAGCCGAGGCAAAAGTTAGAAAGGACGACGTGGTCGATCACCAGGCCCGTGTACATTTCAATAATGCACCCCACTCCAATGTGGGAAGATCGCCCCCGGGTCATCCATGTGCCGTCGAAGATGACGTCAATGTTGTTGACAGGTTGCAGAAGGTCGCTGTAGAGCTCCTTGACGACCTCAACACTTGCAGCTTCAGATGCTGCCGCAATGGACTCGCACACACGAACCACCTTCCGCAGGTGCCCCTGGAATGTCTTGTGGTGGATGCCCCTGTGCGACAGGTTCATACAGGCACAGAAATCCGAAAGTGCAGTCACACCTTTCCCAATGGATTGGATGCCCTTCAGGGCCCTCTGGTTTACTTCAAAAGGCGTGATGTTCGCTGCTCCTTCGACCCTCGGTGACGAAAAACGGGCCTCGCGGAGGTCGCACCCGGTGCACGAGAGTTCTAGCTTCACAGCCAGCCCATACTGCCTAGCTGACTTCGTCAACTTCACGGGCATGCTGCACTCCCCGCATGTGGTCTTAGCGAACAGACCTTCCAAAACTGCCATGTCGATCACGACAAAGTCGGTGCCCGCACCTCCGTCGACATCCGCGAAGTTCACGTCTAGAAAATCGAACTTCCGTTGAGTTGCCAACTTGTTCTCGATGTCACGCTTGACATCGCTGGCGCGTTCCGAATGCTGCGCATTCTCCTCGGGCGTGTAGAACCTCGTGTCGATTCGATGGGACGTACTCGCCGCGGGGCTGTGTTGAGCACAAACTTGATCAGGCGATCGGGCAGCTGATGCGGAGGGTGATCGCGGACGATCTACTTGGATGGCCGAACATTCCGCCGCCGCCGCATCTTGGAATAACTTGGGCGTTCTCTTCGGTGGACAGCGTCGCTGCTTTCCGAACGCACGACGTGTACTAGACTTCAATCGCTTATCCCTGGCCATCACTTCTTTTGTAAATGCAACGAAAGGTGAGGTAAACAACCAAGAAAATCAGCAATAGCGAGAAGCGAAACGAAGAGAACTTGCTTGTCGTCGAAGCGAACAAAGCAAACGAAACGAGAAGCAGACGACGCTGACGACGACGGGATCGCGCGAGAGCGAGGAGGAAGGAGAAATCCGAAAGGAGGCGCGCGCTTTCACCAATAGCGTAAGCGCGCTACGTCACGTGAGCTGTGTAGCCAATCGGCTGCCGACTTCTGTGACTCAGTAAACACACGACAGGTCCGGTTCAAGGTCTTTCTCTTCGAAAAAGGCACGAAACCGTGGCCGGGAAGGCAAGCTACAAAATTAAACCAAGATGGCCGCTATCGGAGTGGCAGCGGCTGAGCACCAAGCGCCCGACGTTGAGCCACATTTCGCGTCTCCGCGCTCATTTGGGACTCACTAGCCACTGGTAATTACGTTTTTTTTCGTACTTCTAGGTTGAATTAGACCATGAGATTTAGCTGAGACAAGGTCAGATATATAAGGAGTCCTGAAGTACTGTTATTGAAAAATCAACATTTTCGCGATTTTTTTCGATTTCAAGACCCGCGTCCACCCTTAAAAACAAAATCCGACCACTGGGAAACATTTTCTGGGGAAAAAACTGAGGCCAGATTCACGAAGGGCTTCATAGGTTATGATAACTTAGCTAAGAAGTTCGCAAGTTAAGAACGTTGTAAGAAGAGGAGAAATCGATGTATTCACGAGAGGAGGAAAGCCATGTTTTCGTAGGGAAAAACTAAAACTTTCGGTATACCGCAAGCTCCCACCCCCTGTTAAGCAGGCTGTTGCTATGGCGATGGTGTCTTTGGGAACACGAACAATCAATTGGAGAGCTCCGCATGGTTCAGAGCAGTTCGGAGTGCGTGAATTTTGAATAACAAACGCAGACAGCCTTTCCGCCAGCACTTGTCTGGGGTTTGCGTCCGTGCAGTGAAATGTCGATGCTAACACAATTTAAACAGGCCCAAATGCCAAGGCCGAGATAACCGCCTTTATTGACTGCTACAAGTTCAATCACTACGAAGCCAACACAACTGTCATCGTTGCTAAAAGAAGACGGCCCATGCCGATCGTTTGTAAGGTGGTGTTGATAGAAACAAATCGCCGCAGCGTTTTTCATGGCTTCGGAGATGCAGGAGCAAGCCAACGTTAAAGACTATAGGTTCGAACTACGAGAGTGCCAGCAAGAGCCACGTAAATACCTGTTCACACTCGGAGCAGACTCGCGTATTTGGTCGAAATGCTGGATTCCCGCTGTTGGACCGCATTTTGGTAAGCGCTTTGGGAGCAATCTTAAACTATTGCAACTCTATGCGGACGTGACACTCGGCAAAGAAAGGTTGGACCGGCATCGCCTAGGTCCAACGAACTGTTCTAGCTCGACAGTGTTGACGTATTGTTGTGTCGGAATAAAATGGCATACTAATAACAAAGTGTACATACCATGTTGCGAAGGTAATCCATACAGCGTTTATTTGAGCTCTGTATCACACAAAACAAAGAGGTAGAATCAATGAGAGTCCCTTTTTGACGACAGCGTTTGTCACCGGTGCCTCAAAAAACTAGGAGATGACAAGGGGAAGAGATTGACCTCTTAATCTATAATTGAGGTCAGCGATCAAGCTATTAATTTGGGAAGGGTTCACAAGGTTCACTCGGGTATATTCCATTCAGCAAGCCAGCTGGTCGTGGGCAGACGGTCTCGACCAGGGACCGTCAGAGCAGCGTTGCACCGGAGCAGGTTGGAGTGCCTTGCTAGGCCTATATTCTGCCGAGCCAGCCCTTGGCGGTCGCTGGTCAGTTGGATCGTTGCCGTTGTAGCTTTTCCCATGTGGTTGTGGATCCAGCATTCATGTTTGTCGTGGTCAGTTTCAAGTACTTCCCTTTTTCTTCCTGCTCGAAGTCGGGACGCGCAAGAACAGCACGTGAAAAAATTATTGTACGTTGGTTGTCGTGATTAAGTAACTAAGTGACGCTGTCGGCCTGGTTGATTTGATCGTAAAAGAGTGCGTAAGATAGCTCCGGAGGTGTCGTAGGATTCCATTGTAACCTGCGCAAAAGTTGCGATAATTTTGTTTCGTGAATACAAGTTTGGTCTTACATTTTGTCGTACTCACATTTTTGGCGTAAGATTATTTTGTGAATCTGGCCTCTGAATTGTCAAAGGGTTAAAGGCGAACAACCAAACCCGATATTCTGCAAGGCTTTTATTCTTTCACGACCTCGAGCGAGGGAGGCAAATGATGAAAGTGGGTACTAAATAAGTTGGAGGTAAACATGTTCGGCAGATATCTGCCTGGTTGGGTGAATTTAAATGTAAAGAATAAAGGTATACGCCAACCAAAAAGTCGAAAAATTGTCCCAACGTTTCGAAACAGTTCGTTTCTTCCTCAGGGGCGACTAAACGGGATAATAGCTTCTTTGTCTTTCTTTGAACTGGCTATCTCTTCTTCTTCATTGTCGATTGCTGGTTGTCTTCGTTTCGCCTGCGCCGTCTTGATTGTATCTCGTAACCCATGAACATATAAACTGGGTAAGGTGCCTAGAGACCTATTGATGTTATTTGCGGTGTTTTGAATATGCCAGGATTCTATCAGCTGTCTTCTGCGTAGGTTCGTCTCAGTACCCAGAATGCTTGCATCTTCAAATCCGATACGGTGGTCATTAACTTCACAGTGCTCCGCCAGAGCACTGCGTTCGCGGTCGAAGTTGCGTACGTCATTTTTGTGTTGACGGAGCCGTTCTTGGAAGTTTTTAGTTTCTCCAATGTAGGAGGCGGGGCACTGGGTGCAGGATATTTGGTAAATTACACCCTGGGCCCTTTCCTTGGGTGGACGACTTTTTGGCCGAGGTAGAAAACGCCCGAGTGTGGTCACAGGTTTATGGGCCACGGTGACGTGTTCTTTTGCAAAAATCCTGGATAGTGTTTCACTTATCCCTTTTGTGTAGGGTATGCTGATGCGTGCAATCGGTTTAGGACGTGCAGTCCCAGTAGGTTGCCCGTCTCGGCGACTGCGGTTTAGACGGTGAGTGATCTGGCGAATGAAGTTACCTGTGTACCCATTATTTTTTAGATCACGGGTGATCGCTTGCTCCTCTTTCCTTTTGTCTGTTGCAGATGAACATATATTCTTTGCCCTCATCAGAAGTGTCGAAACTACTGACGCTTTGTGACTTAGCGGGTGGTTTGAATCAAATTGGAGGTATCGTCCCGTGTGCGTAGGCTTCCTATACACTGTAAAATTCAGTGCCTCACCCTGTCTTTTGATTAGCACGTCAAGGAAAGGTAAACAGCCGTGCATTTCGTGCTCCACCGTGAATTGGATGGCTGGTTCAATGGAGTTCAAGTGAGCCAGGAAGTTGTCCACTTCTGACGCTTGCATGATACAGAAGCAGTCGTCGACGTACCGCAGGAATATTTGGGGCTTGGGGTTGAATGATTGTAGCGCCTTGTGCTCAATCGCTTCCATTGCCAGGTTGGCCATTGTGACTGAGATGGAAGCGCCCATTGCCGTTCCGCTGGTCTGTTGGTAGAACTCCCCCTTGAAGGTGAAGTAGGTGTTCGAGAGACAAAACTCAAGTAGGCGACATAGCTCATCCCTGCTGAGGCATGTCCGGGTGTCCAGGTCCTCGTCTTTCTCGAGAGCTTCCCTGGTTGCAGCGATGGCCAAGGGAACGGGAACATTCGTAAAAAGGGAAATGACGTCGAATGACACCAGGCACTCGTCATGGCTGACCTTTATCTGTGATATGCGTTCCACGAACTCACACGAGTTTCGTATGTATGTTGTAGTATTTCCAGTGAGAGGAGATAGAACTCGGTGGAGATAGTCGCATAATGCTCTGAGTGGTGATGTTGTAAAATCTACGATAGGTCTCAGGGGAACGTCAGGTTTATGAATCTTGGGGAGTCCGTAGAATCCTGGTGCGAATCCATTTCTGCAGATGAGGCGCAGGTAAAGGTTCTTCGATTCCGGGTGTTCTTTGAAAATGAGCGCCAGGGTCCTGTTCAAGTTTCTCTGTATTGCTGATGTTGGGTCCCGTTTGAGTTTCTTGTAAGCCGAGCAGTCAAGAAGCTGGTTGGCTTTATCTTCATAGGTGCAAGCATTCTGGGTACTGAGACGAACCTACGCAGAAGACAGCTGATAGAATCCTGGCATATTCAAAACACCGCAAATAACATCAATAGGTCTCTAGGCACCTTACCCAGTTTATATGTTCATGGGTTACGAGATACAATCAAGACGGCGCAGGCGAAACGAAGACAACCAGCAATCGACAATGAAGAAGAAGAGATAGCCAGTTCAAAGAAAGACAAAGAAGCTATTATCCCGTTTAGTCGCCCCTGAGGAAGAAACGAACTGTTTCGAAACGTTGGGACAATTTTTCGACTTTTTGGTTGGCGTATACCTTTATTCTTTACATTTAAATAAGTTGGGCATGAGTCTGCGCGCGGGAAGCCATGGTGGTGGCGCAACGTTCGTGGCTGTGTAAAACAGGTGCACAGCGGCAATGCCGTCTGCTCTGAACCGTTCGTTGACAGGGAGGAAAGGTAGGCTCTTAGAAAACGATGGTATGCTGACCGTAGGCGGCGATTGAGGGAAGCGAAGGATGGAAAGAGGGTACTAAATAAGTCGGGCATGAGTCCGCGCGCCGTTCGAATGGTGGGGTGGCTCATTGTGCGAACACGGGAATAGAGATAAGCCAGCAAAAAGGGTGCTGCCCCAATGAACATGTCACAATCTGTGCACTGGATGATTAGCGAAGGAACCTTCCAGGACAAAAAAAACGAAAACCAAGTTTGTTTCTTGAACCGTGCGGTATGTCTTCGCCGGGTGCTTTTTTGATCAAAGCAATCTTTAATCAATGTGAATTGGCATTTTTTTTTTAATAACTGTGACTCCCTTTCGGAACCCTGGATCGGGATGCATTGATAGGAAAATTTGAAGGCCACAAGGAAGGAAGAGTGAAGAACCTTCTTTATACAAACTTGGGGGAAAAGATAGGCTGCAGATAAGCCACAATGTGTACAAGAGATACAGTGGGGGGACTCAATCACTCACAGGCCATTGCATCTAGGAAGCGGGATCTATCTCCCCTTCTTGTGAGGCCTTGCTTTATTTCGCTTGAACACACTATCGTGTGCTTTCATACTCGCAACTTCCGAACCAGCATCTGCGTGGGGCTGTGCATGCGCAGACCATATTTTCTAAAATCGTGGATATCTCCTCGATAAAACAAAATGCAGTTTGGCATGTTTCATATATTTTGTGAATTGTTTAGCTGCCATTTGTTCTGCTGAGATATCCACACATCTTTCTAATTTTTGCTACGTTGACCACAGTTAATTTTGTTTTTCAGAAATTAAACTGCATACAGTTTACTACACTCTTCTCATACTGATATCATTAAAACCGTCATTTATCGTGCTTCATTCTGATACACTGCAACAAACTCTAGAGGAAATAAAAAGAACACTGGGATTCCCAAGGAAGGGTGGTTTTCCAGTGGTAAGGAAAGACTTCAAGCCGGCACTCCATCGGCATGTTGATTTAGTGCCACGTTGTGTGTGGGAACCGGGCATAAAAGAAGCGTGAGGGCACGGCAGGCACCTTAGCAGCCAAGTGGAGAATCCTGTCGTCTCTCCTAACAGGACTGGGTGCACATCAAGTCTGGCTGGCAGAAGGACGACCCTTTGGGGATGGTCAAGGCCAAGCAGCGGATACGGGCGGCCTTCTCGAAGAGCCCGCACCTCAAGTGCATCTACAAGTGCAATCGGTACCGCATCTACCAGATCAGACACATCAAGGGTAAGGGCCTGGTTGTGATGGTCAATCCTCTTATATTCCTTATTTATTTGTTTTGAACCTGCAGTGTTACTGGGCGAAATCGCACAAAATAAACAAACTCAACACACAAAAAAAAAGCAGAAAAATATCGCAATTTGCTAGAAAATCGTGTTGCATACGTGAAACATCCTAACATCACAAACGTTTATATCATGGTGTAGCAAGCCGTCTAACCTGTTCAGCCAGATGCCTATGTTCACGGTGCTCTTCATCGGATAATTTAATGTGTGGCATGTGTACGCTTGATATGCTGAACCTGGTGATCTTCCAGAAGCTTCTAATACCCTAGTTACACGGGCGCTTTGAACTGTCGTTCAGTTCAATCACAGTTATCGGTGCCAACTGTGATCGAACTGAACTGAACTGAGATGGTGCTACACGGCTCTCTAGACTGAACTGAGATGGTGCTACACGGCTCTCTAGAACCCAGTTGAAGCTAAAACGAAACTAGTTCTTGTGCCACGTGATCAGTTTAATTGGTAAACTAATTTACTCGGAGACACACATTTATTTATTATAAGTATATCGGACAATATGTTCTATACCTTGTTGCTTTTTAGCGGCGTTTACACGAGTACCAAAGCAGATTCAGGGCTAGGTTGCGCATATTTTAGGATAGGTGGCGCAAACTACCGCCCGCTACGATGGGTGCAACCATTACTATTTGTCCATTCATACAGCCGGTCCCACCGCCATCTTCGCTCGTTTGGTGGTTTGCCCGCTAGCCGGGATTGTTTTAGCGGCAGCTCGGGCGCCTAAACCTATTCCTTCCCGGATATTTTGCTGCTACGATTCTTTCTAGACGCCTCCCCCCGCATTCCAAAACAGTAAATGCCTCGCAAACGATGGTCAGCGGCAGCGGTCCCGCGAACAAGCGCCATTTTACCTTCGTTATGGAAGTCCGTTCAGTTGAACTGAGGTATGGGAGCTCAGTTGAACTCAACTGTCATTGGCGGCTCGATGACAGTTGGTGCCGCGGTGTAACTCTGGCCGATCGCGATTGAGTCAACTGTCGTTGACTCAATGGCAGTTGAAAGCGCCCGTGTAACTAGGGTATAATTCACCCTTCCCCGCCCAGCTTGTCTACATCACACTTTCTCGCCTACCCATATGGTCGCATGACCTCCACAATAAGCAATCGGCGTCGAGCACTTCACACCTTCTCTCCCACTTGTCAATCAATGAGTGTCAAGCCTTGTGGCCACGCTTTTATCCAGGCTTCACTTTTGGTCGTCACGAAATGCCAAACACCTAGCCAAAGAATGTTTCACGTTAAAAATTGCCTCTCTCTGCTTCTACGTCCCGAAGGTGCTTTAAACGTGTAGCATTTAGAGGTCCTCTGTGTCGTCATGGCGTCGCCCTCACATCATGGTGCTACCTGATGTCACTGTGTAGTTTGACATCATGGCATCTCATGATGTGAGTACCACACAAATTGAAGAAAAATATTTTTAGGGCAAAAGCCTTACTTGTCCCATTACGCTAAAAGCCGTCGGCGTTGTCCCCGAAAGATGGTCATAAAACTGTCATCAAGCTCGCGCCTCAGAAAAGAAATGCAAAGAAAAGCACAGCCATGAAGATGCTTCATCACGGTAGCCGGCAGGGCTCTCAAGGCCAAAGCAGACACGCCCCAGTAATAAAACAAGGAAAAGCACAGCAACACAGATGCTTTGTCATGGAAGTCATGAGGCCGGCGGGGTTCGCTGCACCTGCACGGAGGAGCGTGATATCGCCGCCGGAGCGCCGTGTGCAAAAGGAAGGCGTGGCACGCTGTTTGTGAGAATGTGCTGCCATGTAGGAATTCTTTCGCATTCTTACACGTAAGCAGTCTTCACGTGTCTTCTTTTTTAATCAAATAAGTCAAATATATTTCATATCAGTCGGATTATTTTTATTTAGATCACTGTAGCTAGAAAAGAGAAATAATTTATCACTACTGTAATATCCTGGGAGATAGCTCACCTACAATCAAGAGCAAATCGGGTGAAGATATGGTGGGGGCTAACTTTCTTAGTTCAGTCAAGAAAAGATTAAAAATTGCCATTTTAGGTCATATGGTCCTTCCAAGCTTGTTATTGTGGCAAGGGGCAACTAAGCAAAGGTAGCTGTACTTTCCAGTCGGCAATGTTCATTTTTATCCAGTCATAGCTAACTAGCCACATTTACGCCGAGGCCATCGTTGATCCCAACACTACAGTTACTGAAGGGCTATCTTTCAGTGTTTAAAAATATATAGCAAATCAAGTCAAAATAGAGGTGGGCTATCTTTCGGGGGTAGCACATCTCTTGGGAGTTTGCGGTAGGCATATTTTTTTTTTTTTAACAAAGTGATTGTCCAATCTATCAGATTATTAGTACCAACGCAGACAAAATAATTACTCTACTTTTAAAGTATGCTTCAATTAAGAAATTTTTGTTGACGTAAATCCCGCTATACCGCAGCATGAAAACTAACGCTTCGAAGGCACTTTAGACAGCCTGAAAAGAATCGTTTTTTCGACGTATTTCTCTGCAATTTACTACAGAAGTGCAAGCAGGTGGTGAAAATTTGTTTACTTTGCTTATTCATCTGTTCAAAGTACAGTACCTTGCAGGTCCATTTCTGGACACTAGAAGAGGGGGGATTCAGTCGAAATGCTGTATAAACACTTTTTAAAAACACATACACGAAACGAAGGAGCTCATGTACTTTCTCTCAGCCATAAGCCAGACTCTGGCCATAAGACAGACTGTTGCCACATTTTCAAGAAGCAATACCAGACGGCCGCACAACTACTGTGTCTTTTCCTCTTCGCTTTGGAGACACAAAGGATACAGGCAGAAGTTAGGCAGAAGAATCTACGTCGCCACTTTGCAGACGATGCACGCGTAAGGATAAGTGCTGCCAGCAGACGGCATACACTGCATCGAGGGAGTGCCGGCTGATTCAAGTTCTTTTGCTAGATTGTCTGCTATCAACCTGAATCGGCTGGTGCAACATCGACGCAGCGTAACGCCATCTGTCGGCAGCACTTCTCTCTACACGTGCATCGTCTGCGAAATGGAAACGTAAATTTCTCAGAACAGGTTTTTTTTTTTTTTTTTTTTTTTATTATTAAGCTAAGTTTATTTCTTAATTTTTTCACTGTAAACTTTCTCCACCTGCTTGCATCTCCGTAGGAAATTGCTGTGCAGTGCGTTGAGAAATCAATCTTTGCGGGCTGTCTAAAGTGCCTTAAAAGCTTTAGTTTACATGCTGTAGGACAAAATCAGCTTGGTTATTTTTGTAAAGAAAAGCTTTATAGCATTTTTTACATTTTGATTTGCTCACAATATAACTTTACTTTTCTGTATTCATTTTTTTTTTGCGTTATGTTTTGTTTGTAATAGATCACCATATAACTGACAAAGTGGATGGTAGAAAGGAAGCCCAACAATCCGATTTCATAAGAAGAGCGCTGAGTTTTGCTGGCCTGCATTCTTGCTTGATGATCATTTGATTCAGATGCAGAAGACGTGCACATTGAAAGCAAAAGCATCAAATGTGAGACAAACTGTAAGTAAAAGAAAATATTTTGGGAATTATTGGTTAAGGAAATGTTTGATTTTTAAATCATCACGGTAAAACTGATGCGACATAAAGCACAATTTACAGCACAACATAAATCACCACTTAAATCATCTTGATTTTTATTGCCACCCTGGTGCCATGCGACTTCATGCACCATGAAACGTCACAATGTAACAACAACAACAAAAAAAGAATAAAAAAAGATGATTCGAGAATTTTTGTTGTTAGGACTCCTCATCGGTCAAGCAGCATGGTCAGACACCAGCTGTCGTGAATGGCATGACGTCATCAGCGTGACGTCGAGCCCACCGAGACCCCGCCCATGGCAAGAACATGAAAACCGTAAGAGATGGCCCTTTAAGGCGGCGGTACCGCGGCCTCAACCATAATATGGGTGGCAGCTGTGCTAACGCTCTTGTTTGCGGTGCAAGTGTCGCGTCTGCTTGTGGCCACATGCTTTATTCTTTTTGCAAGTAAATGGCTAATTCATCACCAGTGTCTTGGTGTAGAATCTGACGTGCATTTGTCAATACCTAATGCAAAATAAAAATAAAAAAAGTGCAAGTTTTTCATATTTTTGAAGACATGTCTCTATGCATTCCAAGTTTCTAGACTTGTAATGCATCCAAGTCGCATTCTTCTTTTTTTTTTAATGAGTAGATAAAGGACTGGTTTGGTTCTGTACTTACATTTTTTTCTTAATTACCACACTAGCATTTTGAAACATTTATTTAAAAAGAGCCCTTTTTATATGATTTAAGTTTCTTAACTCAGTTTCACATCATAATGTAGCAGCGACATTTAAGAGCACGCTCCTGGTAAACAGGAACTCAGCATAAAAATATTAGAAATGCAATGCCATCAGGTTTTTTTTATAAACACCTCTTGATTATGATAAAATTTTAAATAATTCCTTTCCCTCATTCGTGGTTTCCCGAGATAGCATTTTAGCATCTGATCTCTTTTTTTTTAAATTGTATGCTAGAGCAGCTAGGCTGGATCGCTAAGGCTGGTATGGTTGTACTATTCATATTCAGACTCGTTTAAAATAATTGCTTATCATGAAACTATTTTAAAGTTTGACTCTGTGCACAAGAAACCGCTGTCAGGAAAGAGGACAGCTATTTAAGCAATCCCTCTTTAATCAAAGCTCTTCTCATTCTAATTAAAGTTGCTTTCCATGATTGTAATTTTTTTTAAGGCATACTTATTTTCTTAAGTATCAAAAAGGACTATGTATGTTGTAGCAGATGACACACACTTGCACCATCTTTTGAAAGGTGGCTGAAATTGGAGGGTGAGAGGTTTAGGAAAAGTGGCGCTGATTCTGTCCCTGACACAGAGGATTCTTGTCTCGAATATTTTCTCGCGCCTCTCTCTCATTCTTGCAGCGAATCACAATTAGTCTTGCGAAAAAAAAGGAGCAAGAAGCACATCACAAGGGTCACAAGCAAGTACTCAAAAATACCTAGTGCCTATAAATAAGCTGTTCAATGCTGCCTGCCATGTTCCGACACCATGAAAGGTGCAAATATTGAACTTCATATGATGGCGATGACGAAGTAGAATTTCTTTCCCTTCACTCCAATATAAACAAAAGGATATTCTTTTTAAGGTTCCTGCTTTCCAAACATGCTGCTTCTGTTCTGTCCGCAATCGTGTACGGATTTGAGATCTTCAGTTTCAACCAGGGTGTCGAACCGGAACCGAACCGAAAACCGGAACCGAACCGGTTTTTTTTCCGGAACTGAACCCGAACCCGAACCGTTATATTGTTATCGCGATAAACCCGAACCGGAACTGAACCAGAAAAAAAAATAACGGTTACCGGCTCATGTCAAAACGGTTCGGCCACACTCTGTTGACAATGAATGTGCTATGAATGCCTTTTGTTTTTTAAGTGCCGTCAACTGACACACACCTCACTTACATATTTTTCTTCTCCACTCAGTCTTAGGAATATAAACGCTGCATCCATGAATCTTGACATAGGAACCAGTATTGCACTGGTCGCGGCTTGCACGGAAAAAAAAAAATGAAAGGCTGTGCAAAAAAAAAAAAAAAAAAAATCGCGTCACGGGATTTAATTTTCTTACCATCTCGTAAATCCTAAATGCTGCTGTGTGCTCATTTCATAACACGTTTCTAGAACACGCGAGTTCTTGAAGCTTGCTTTCATCGGAATGAGAAAAGAAAAGGCTGTGGAGTTTGATAATAATGCACCTGGTTTCATATAGGCACTTAAAAGCTAACATATTTGTGAGACAGCGAACTCTTCTATTTTAATATTTATCCTATTACGTCCTTCTGGCGTTGCGTTCAGTGAAGTGTTTTTCATATTCCGTATCTTGTTTAATGAAAACTTCTTTTAGGGTCTAATTTGAGTTACCGAAGGCTACTTCAAATAAAGAAAGCTGTATTTTCTCCCCACTGTTCCTTCAATTGCTTACACACCGAGGTGGCGGGATAGTTAGCGAGTTCTGCTTGTAAGGGGGTTTGTAAGGAGGTCGCGGATTTTACAGCTACTGCGTCGGACCCAATTAGATGAAGTCCGAATGCATAACTGTCGGTGAGGTAACCTTTGAGTGCACATAAAGAAACCATTCCTGGTAGAAATCCCTGAGCCTTAAGGCGCGTTCCCACCGGCGATGCAATCTAGTCGCGCGATAACTTTCATCGCAAAAGCGACCATCGAGGGCAAAAGGCGACGCGATTTGAGCGGTCGCTACTCGACCCGACTTTTTTGCGATGCGATCTAGTCCCGGAGTGGCTGAGCCAATCAACGGCGTTCGGAGCGAGTTTTTGAGAATAGACTCGCCAACGAAGGCGTTGGACTCGCTCATCGCGCACGCCGGAGTGACCATCTAACTTTTTTCGCAATGCGATCTAGTCGCATCGCGCGACTGCTTACATCGCCGGTGGGAATGCGCCTTTACACTACGATGTATCCCGTTTCGTATGTGCAGATTTCAGATGTTTTATTTGTAATTTATTTTGATGTTGCAATTTGTCATTTATAATTTCCGAACCGGTTCGCGAACCGGTTCAGCGCCCCGAACCAGTTCGCGGATTGAATTAATCGAACCGGAACTGAACCGGAACAATATTAATTTACCTGAACCGTAACCGAACCCGTATTTTTTTCGGTTCGACACACTGGTTTCAACATTACATTACTCTTAGACAACTCACGGAGAGTGTTATGTCCAAAACGCAGTAACTGGGCCTCATAGTTAGGCAACAAAAAGCCGGTCATCTTGGCCCAAATCTAACGTCCAGGACAAGGGTCTAGTAAACCCCTTTCTTATAAAATGCGCTATCAAAAACATTGCTCATGGATGAAATCCTCCCTAGGTCATCTTTCTTTGGATTAATATTTATATTTCATTTATTGAAATAAGGTTAATGTCGGACTATCAACTTTCATGGTGTTGGTTCAATAATGCAACGACTCCAAACTTCCACTTTGCGCTTTACACCCACCATGACTCTCGTCCATTGCAACTAATGATAAGCAGCCAGGGCCGACTTCCTAGAAACAACATCTCAGCTGAGACTAGGGATGCCGCGAACTTTTTTCGAATCGAAGTTTCGATGATCGAATCAAGCGGTTCGAAAGGTTCGAAAGATTTCGATTTTTCGAATTGTCTATATCGTAAAATTCGACGGAGGTCGAATTTTCGAACTTGTTAATCTAAGAACTTCGACGATTTTCGAACCGTCGAACTTATTACGTTAAAACATTCGATCTTTTTCGAACTTTCAAACTTATTGCGCTGCAAGGTTCGATGCTTGTCGAACTTTCGAACTTGACTGACCAAAAAATTCGATGAATTTCGAATTTTCGAACTTATTTATCAAGAGAATTCGAAAAGTTTCGAACTTTCGAATTTTGAAAAATTCGAAGTTCGACGAACTTCGAATTTTTAGGGTAAAAGTTCGACGTTCGTCGAACTTCGAAAGACCGGCGGACGGTTTCATTTGATTTCAAGTAGTGGGGTACATTCATAATTTTTTTTCTCGAACTTTTACAAGCGGTGCTGCGCTCCTTACGAAATACAATGTCGTTTATTTCAATGTTCTGGCATGCTTAGGTTTAAAGAAATAAATCCCCGAAGGGGCGAGGAAGGACGACGGGTTTTTGACGATTATCATTTGTGCCAGATTTGAAGCACGCTGCAGCCGGAGCTATTTATGGTATACGTTTTTAAGAATGATCTATGTATATCCTAGGTAAGTGTCGACTTAAGATGTGATGATTGTTATTCAACGTGAGTTCCGAAGAAATGTCCAAACATGTATCTGCATGCAATTATGACCTAAACTTGATATTTATTTTCGTCTAAGTTGTTTGAGGTATCGCATTTAAATTAACACCACAGACAGAACATATCTGATAGTGTTTAAGTTCAGCACGTCATTAAAAGAAAACTTTTTTTTTTCGCTTCACGTTCCTGGGACGTGTTTCTTTTAGCCTGTACACATTTTGGTAAATGAAACTTGTTTCGAAGTTCTGAACCTCTGAATATGCAAGAATAGAACACTTCCGACGAATTCTTGATAGTTTTTTTTTCTCCTGCTTTTTAATCCCGCATTTATTGTTTTTTTGTTTTTTTTTTTACTATCGGCACAGGTATTTAGGTTGAAAAGACAGCTTTGAACTTCCGAACCACTAAGCATGTGACGAGTAGTGCCTTCTGACAACGAGTTTCTAACAATGACCATCTACGCAACCTTTTATGCAGTGAAGAGCGACAGTAGCTACACATATGCATAAATAATTTCAAAACTGAAGCCCCCCCCCCCCCCCCCCCCCCCGCCCGCTACCCTCTTTCCCCCCGTTTTCCCTCTTCCGACGCCACTTGTATAATAGAACGCTCCTTGACCTCGAGTTGTGTCGGCTTTTGTGCTTTTTGCGAGGCGATTCCTCCGTCCCAGAAAATAAACCTCCAGGACAATTATAAACTTCACCGGATCGGATTACTACCAGCGTGCAAGGGGTGGCGAACTAGTTTGCCAGGTCACTTCAAGTTTCTTTTGAGCCTCAACCTCCTGCTCGCCCCTGGCCGTTTCGAACTGGATGAGTCTCGTAAAACAGTGTGTTCGTGTAATCACTACTGCGTGATGCAGGTTAAAGACCCCCCCGGCGGCTGGCGGTCACAATTCTGCACTGGCAAATATTCTAGCACGCCCGGGGCACTCGTCGTCTCATTTAATTGCCTGACCAACTTCGCAGGATCTAGATATCGCACCCTAACTTTTCTAAACTTGATTTTGTGAAAACCAGTGAGTCGTGAAAACGTTATTTGAAACTGAAACTGTGGAAAAACTTGAAAATCGGA